ACTTGCAAGTGTAATGTCGTACATAGTAGCTCGTAACATAGTTATTTGTTAACGAAATTATGCCGCACATGCGTATCGTTTTGTCGACGGACATGTGCCGTTTTCGGGGGTGAATTACTATCGTGAGCGAGGGATCGTTGTACGTTGAACAAAAGCAGAGTGCGATAGAGGGGAAGGATGTTGGGATGGAGATGAGGGACGGGGGTCTCTGAGAGAGAATGCGGAAAGTAATGTCCTGTCCGTGAGAATAAAGCCCACTTAATTGCGTGTCGAGCACATAAGAACGTTTCTCAACTTCTCGCTGCTACAACGATCGTAACTTACGCGGTAAGTAACGTCGTCCGAATCTGGTGGGGCTTAAGTAAGCTCGCGCGATTACCCCTGAAAACAGAGGTACGATAGTATTTCACTGGCAAAAGTTACGGTGCAAGAGAATTTTGAATAACTAGGATCGTTAATTTGTCGGAAGAAAGATTACTGGTGCGGTAGATCTTTGTGTAACATTTCCTCATTTCAATATCTTGCTATTTCTGAAGGGCGAAGTTATTTCGTTTGCATAATCAGATTATTTAATTTTCTGATTGCATATATCTTCACGAAATATGTGATATGATCTTTTATATCTCAATCAAAAGAAAATGTAAGAGATAATATATTGAGAGAATTGATATATAGATAATTGATATAATTGAGACATTGATATATTGATGTATATTGATTTTTATTATTTCTACTCTTTTAACAATTTATAATTATTCATTTATTTATTTATCATTTTTTCATTTCAAAATTTTATTTTATAATTAATCAACTAACTAATTTTTTGCTATACAATTTATTTCATATCTCGTTTTATTAAGGTATTTGATATTATCAATTTCGCACTATATTATTATATATAATTGGAAATATTCGATTAATTTTGCAAGGGATATTCTTTGTTAATGGCTACTGCAAACCGAGGAAAATCCAATTCTGTCATAGGTAAAGCATATTGTTATCGCTCGCTGTTAAAACGTAAACTTTGCATTGGTTATCTAAAAAGTACTAATAACTATAAAATAACGATGCGACATTATTTATTGCTACAGATGAAAGCTTCATCGTTATTTTATATTGCTTGCTTCCATCTCGCAATTTCTTTCTCCTTTTTCCCTTTTCTCTATTATTAACGTGTAGTCGATATATATATATATATATATACTCAAACATACATATGAGAATACAAATACAAATAATAACATCTTAAGCATAATAATAAAAATCAACAAATATCGCTTTCAAAAATAATCAAAAATCTTTTTCTTCTTCATTAAAATGTAGATTTACATTTTTAGTTAACATAATTTGTATAATAACTATTGTTTGTTACACGAATTGCACAATTATTTAATTAAATAAAATATTATTATTAAATTATCTGCGAGATCAAAAATATTTTTTACACTATTATTCGTGTTAAAATGAAAGTGAGACCGTAGAACATTTGAGTTACAAATGTGAGAATTGTATCTCAGTGTCGGAGTCATTACTTTACCGCTCAAAGACGAGATACTCCGTCACAGAAACGGAACGTGTAGAGATACCGTTATAGATTTCAATTTACCAGTCCAGGTTGGATCAACACGCATATCGATTTCGTCTATTCGATCTGTTTCCTACCGAAACCAAGTGATATAACTGGAGGTATGAGACATAAATATAAAATTTTAGGGCATTCCATTAGCCGGTAGTCGAAAAGCTCCCGCATTCCGCCTTTACCGCCATTCTCCGACAGGGAAAAATCTTTTATCGTACCAGATCACGTATCCCGATTTATTCTTTTGTGATTAAGAGAAGCTTCGTTAACGCGACATAACTGCTTTTTAAATTTCTCTTTAAAGCTGTATCATCTATTGTCGAAACCGCGATAAATAAATCGACGTGGATGATATCAGTGGTAAATTCTAATCGACTCGACATAGATGATCGATTATTATTGCAAGCATATGAAGGGCAAAGACCGTGAATTGAAGAATGAAATTCACGTAACGTTCCAGACCCTCCAGACGGCAGATTCGGGAATTATTCTCCAACTTCTTTTTTCCAGCCGCAATTCACCTCCTCTCTCGAAGGTGCTTCATCACGGTGGGCGGCCGGTGCGAACTGTGATTACGGATTTTGAGTCTCGCCCGCGGATTTTACGACCCTAGCGTGTAACCACTCGCGGAGTCTCACCCCTCGCGAACTCTCGCTTCCCCTCCACCCCTCGCAGGTCCCGCGCCGCGTTTTCGACCCTCTGGAGGGTTCCCTTTCCCCTGTTCCCCGTCTCGCTGCTCGCTCGTGCCCGAAAGTCGGGAGACGAGGCAACGTGCGGCATACGAACCGCGTGGAAATAAATAAATGCCCGGGGATGGCCGCCGACGGTAAAACGACGATAGAGGGGGCGGTGGAAGGGGTAGATGGATGCGCGAGAGGGTGGCTGACGAATTTCAGGACCGTAGTTCCCTCGAAACCCCGCGCGCGCATCGTATCGATCCCTATTCCACGCCGAACGCACCTGTACCTATCGTTTTTGAGTGTTCGATGATTTTTTCATCGCGCGTAATCAATCTCTTCTTTGACCCTCCGCTTACTTCTGTTTGATATGAATAATGTAAAATAAACAGCGAACGATCAGGGTTTAATTAATCCTGCTGATATATTCGTTTACCGAACAACATTTAGCTCGTATTTAAATGGATTCTCGTATATATGTTTATTTTATATTATTTTAATTAAATATATTGTGTCTCTGCTTCTCTCTTATTTTATAAATACTCTTTTTTGCATTTTATATAAATGCGTTGCTGTAAAAATGAAAAATTATGAAATTGACAATTTTATTTACGAAGGCTCAATACTTATAAAGTTACTATATTTTTAAAATGAAAATGTAGATTTTTTTCAGACAATGATAAGATTAATCATGAATTAATTCTCTGTGCAGAGTGGGATTATGATAATCATCAGGCAAAAGAAATTTTCGGGTGCTTCTCCGTTTATTTCTATGCAAAATTCTTTCCAGACTTATCCATTAAGAAATCGCAGTTTTTGTTTTCTTTGAGCAGAATAAAAAGGAAACGTGCTATGTTTGTGCAAACCGCTATAAAAGCTTCAAAGCTTAGCATGTCAACGACCATTTGTGCGTGAAAACGAAGAAGAAGAATACCTTAAAAAGACAGTCTCAACGATTTTGGAGCGTCGGAATTCATTCGAACTTTATTATTGCAAATACTCGGCCAAAATTTGCGTTAGCCGCAGAGCTTTGTTCTTGAAGAGGTCGCTATTTACCCCACAGTCGGTAAACCATTTAACCAACATTTAACCGTCTCTCCTTCTAAAGAGCTAAAAAAAACTCACTTCAATTAGATGAATCAACACCGTGAGTCAACTTCGGGAAACGATAACAGTCTTGCCCTGTTACAAGCGCTTGGCTAAAATTTCCTTTGTTACCGTCAAAAAAAAATCCTCGCGAAAATATTTCTCTGTTTAAATTACTTTCGCGATATGCGTCGAGTTTCGCGCTTATTCATCTCTTAATTATGCTTTACTGATGCCTAATTAAGTGCATTAAATGGAATGTCGCAATTATTCTATACACTTTAATGTGACATTTAAATCTCTCTGTATTCTTATTTAAAAACCATATGTCAGATGAAAATACTATCATTAATAGATACAGGTGAATTACGAACGGAATTTATTGCGATAATTATTGCGTAGAATAAATCAAAATTATGAGACTATTAGTTTTAGCAGTTTGGCTAATGCTCGGCTATACATAAGGGTAGTTGAGACAGTTACATCTGATAGGATATTAACGAAGAATACCTCTCTCAAGCGGATTGGTGATGTTATATAATAAAGTTATGCTATTAAATTAATCTCTGACGTGAATTATATTAGACATGTATAGAATGACAATTCGAATCAAGATGAGATGAAGACATGACACGATATCTCAAGAAATGATACTATTAAATTATATTGCTTATCAATTTCATTATGAAAATACGAAAATTATTTTAAACTACAATCAACATTCTCTCATTAGAATATATCGGTAAAATATATAGAATAATTATTATTTTATCAATTTGTTTACTATTTGAGAGTTTACAAATAATCAATAAATAATTCACTAAACACGAAATATATCGTTTAATAATACATAGCGCGACTAGCTGTATCTGATTTATCGCGAATTCACTGTTTGAAAAATAATATGTTTTATTCAGAGAATGGATATGTAATATCCATTGTATGGGAAGAAAAGAAGAAATACATCCATCATTTCTATTTCGTAATTTTCACCTCATGTTTAGATCAAACATCGTTCTGTAACGCGCGTCCGCTCGTTTCTCGAAAATGGATTCCTATTCCGTCTCGACGAGTTCAAAAATATACCCCGCCGCGTCACCCTCCCCCTCGTTTCTCCGCTCGTTTTCAGATAGGTGGACCTACGCACGGGGAAACGAACGAGGCACGAGGGACTCCTCCGGATTTCGATTATCGTCGATAACTCGGCTGGATGTATCCCTTCCATACTAGCAGTAGTTTCCGGAAATTCGCCTCGCCCTCGGGATTATCCCACCCCGGGAATTCCCATCTCGCCACCGACGTTGTGTTCTCTCCGACTTCTCTCTATCTCTCTCTCCTTCCCTCCCTCCCTCTCTCTCTTTATCTTCCTTTTACATCCCTACCTCAAATTTTACTTTACATTCTCTCTCTTTCTCTTTCTTTTATTCTTACTCCTTTTTATCTTGTCTCTGCATTCGATTTGTCCCGAATTACTTTATTGGGTATATTACATTCCTTCGTCTTTGTTTTCGTGACGTGACAGACACAAATGTGGCAAGTTTCGCGTCAGAAGTATTAAATATTAATTGAGAATTTTGGAAATGGGAATTATCTTATCATTTTATTATATAAATTAATCCAACATTTTTTAACCTTGATTTACTTTTTTTCTGTTTCAGAATGCTCGTTTCCAGCGAGATGGGAAGGCAAGTGGTTCCAAAGTGGCGTGAGGCAATCAATAGAGATACTCAAGAACGAGTTATCAACCAAGGGCAAGTGCCTGCACAACGAAGGCGACAAGTTTCTTCTAGTAGATCAGTAAGTAATTGAACGCCACGTATTCTCTTATTTTACGAAATTAAATAATAAAAGATTATGATAAACAAAAATACTTCAACTAATTATTATAAATAAGCTATTTAAAAAATGAATTATTCTATTATAATTAGTCTTCTATTGTGCTTTGGGTTGTCTTCAGATAATAAATTCAATAAATAGGATAAAGCATGCTATGATATTATTTCAAAATGATCAGTAGAATCTTTAGATACTAGAAAAGCGTGTTAACTCAATGTATCTTTTATAAAAAATCGCAGATATTTGTATATTTCTCATCGTGTATTTAATCGTATTGTAATAAATAATTAAGCAATAGAGGACCGATATCTTTTGAACCAATTCGATATTGGTTCCTTCAGACATCATAATGAAATTAAAAAACTATCCGCATTGCAGCTATCATATTTATTTTAATCTCTTTGAGCGCATCCCGCAAGCAATTGTAGCGAGACAATTTTTACTCTGGAAATTTTCTATGGAATTATACACAGTACGATTCACAGATAGCATGTATAGAATACATGTATCCAACCGATCAAAGCCTTAGTTACTAAAGCTAATATAGCGATATCGTTCAACCGAATAACCCGGATCTTTTTTTTTTATCGACTAGCGGTTTATTCAATTCCGCAGAATTGGCAGTGTATCGTTTCAAAAGCACTGTAAACTTTTCAGTTTCCTTTACAAGGAATTCTATGCAAATAATACATAAAAAAGATAAATCTGTCTCCAGACAGTTTAAATCTTTCGTTTATAGTAAAAGTAGACAATATTTGTCTATGAGAGACAGAATTGCGATATGTGATCCGTAAAATAAGTTATGATACGATCGGCGAAACAGTTAGAAACGCAATTTTTCTACACAAAAACGCGAAGAACATGCGGCTCTAAAAATGAATCTAACGAAGCTTTGACAGAAGCAGAGCTTGTTGTATTTCTTTAAATTATAGTAAAATTATATAATGAAGTTAATATGGTTAAAATGGATATATTGCGTGATTGCGATATTTTTGAATTATTTTGAATTATTAAAGTTTATTAAAGGGAAATTGCAAGAGAGGAAAGATATTTTATGATATTAACGTTAGAATCATTGTGCTGGAAAGATTGACATTTAATCAGAATATGAATGTCTGTGATTATATGATTAATAATAATTATACACAGAGTTTTTTTTCTATCTTTAATAACTGTTTTCCTCATTTAATTTTTTCCTAAAGTATTATTAACGAAATTGTTGACATAGTTTTTTAATTTCAATAATTGCGTTTTAAAAATATATTATTCAAGTCGTCTCATTTTATCTGTTTAACTTCAACGCGAGAATGGAAACCGAGTAACATTATTAAACAATTATAGTACGAAGAATGCAATTTAATGTGGAATTCTTCGTTTTTTTCTTTCAGAAAATCATGCTATCGCTGCGTCGTCATTCACGAGAAGCACCCCAACGTTCTTCAGTACAAAGAAAGTAAGTACGAAAAAGTAGTAAAAACAAGTCGCACGTGGCACTGCTTGGCGTCGTTGTTATTTCGCGGGATTAATAACGATCTCCTCGAAAGGCCGTTCGTTCATTAGAATGCCGATTGTTAATTAAAAGCTCGGCATGATGACGGAACGAGAAGAAAGGGAGAATGCC